CGATGGAGCCCTAAACCCCCTAAACCCTAAACCCTAGGAACAGCCAACACCTTCTTGCTCCTCTCCATCGCTGTGATGGTCGCAGCCGGATCGCTTTCGAGCGCTTGTTGTGGGTTGTAGATATCAGCGGTTTAGGGTTTAAGGTTTAGGGTTTGTGGGTTAGGGTTTAGGGGTTAGGGTTTAGGTTTAGGGTTCCCTGGCAAAACACACAAAGTAGCCCGGTGGTACCCTTTTCCCTTCTTTTGGTTCAAGGTTCCCGTATAAAGTAACCCCCCCAAATAAACAGGGTGCCCTTAAACCCTAAACCCTAAGCCCTAAACCCTAAACCCTAAACCCTAAACCCTAAACCCTAAACCTTATGACATGGTTACTTGGCTGCCAAGAAAATCTCTAAACCCTAAAGCCCTAAACCCGAAGCCTAAAACCGAAGCTGCGAAGCTGAGCCAGAGATGGCCCCTAAACCCTAAACCCTAAACCCTAAACCCTAAACCCTAAACCCTAAACCCTAAACCCTAAACCCTAAACCCTAAACCCTAAACCCTAAACCCTAAACCCTAAACCCTAAACCCTAAACCCTAAACCCTTCACGGCTCTCAGGTAGTGGTGAGCCGGCAGATCTACATGCACGACTTGAGGTTCATGGTGTGCAGCGTCGCAGGCATAGGCTCACGCATCCTCAAGTACAGCAGCTTGGCCTCAGTGACTCCAGGGTCTCATATGGGGGGGGGGGGGGTTTGGGGTTTAGGGTTTAGGGTTACATGGGGCTACATAGGGTTACATAGGGTTTAAGACAGGGTTGTGGGCTATCCGGGGTTTGGGCCTATTTTTGTTTCAGCGGGTATTGCTCCAAACTATGGGCCACCACCGGCAAGATCCAAATTTCTGAGCCTTCATCAGCAGACGAGCAAGCGTATAGCTCTTGCGGAAAGAAGCCACACAGAGGACCCTGAAGGGAGCCCACACTCAAAACATCATTTTTTGTTTTGGGCGCCTCAATCGTTTCTTTTGCAGCCACGCCGAGGCTATCTCGCCGTCATGGTCGTTGTTGGCATGATCTCACTCCAGTGCTTTGACGAGAAGGTTGTCATCGTGGCCCCTGAAGCTTACTTCGCCTTTAGTTGAACTTTAAACTTTTTTTTGGGTTTGCTTATAATAGTAGGAATATTAAAGTTTAACCTTTTTTCCCCTTGGTCATTGGAGAAGTAAGGAAGCAACGCCAGCCCAGAGCCACGACGCCAACCAAGCGCCTTGGACCAGACGACGGTGCACAGAGAGCTCAATCCCCTAAGTTCACGGGGCCTTTGATCTTAGCCCAAGAGCCCCTCAAAAACGATACCTCCATTTTTTGCGCAGCCTTGCGCAGATAACTGGACATGAAAGGCGGGCTTAGCTATTCTACCCTTGAAGGACTCTGAGTGGACGGGTTGTGGGTTCGGGAGGGTACGCTGAAGTTTGGCACCGAGACATCTGTAGCTGTGGCGGCTACTACTACTACTTGCTTAAGAACCTCCCAAAAAATCAAACATTTTCTTTACAAGGGCCATAGAGGGATTAGTGTTTTACATTCTTGTGGGTTCTTAAGCAAATAACCCTATGGTCGATAATTTCTTTTCTGTGGTGTGCGCAGTGTCGGATGGCGCATGCCGCCGAAGCCCTACTGGTACTTTTCCGTTTCGAGTCTAGATCCTGCGTCTTCAAGGGTTTAGGGTTTAGGATGTAGGGTCTAGGGCTTTAAACCTAAGCTCCTAAAACCCTAAACCCTTAAAACGCTTGGTAGCCAGTGATATCCTTTACGCTTTTTGTTCGGGGGATCTGGGTTCCTTTATCAAGTAACCAACCAAAAGGGCACCCTGATTGTGATATGGTTACTGGGCTGCCAGGGTAACCAACCAAAAGAAGGTACCCTTAAATATGGGTTTAGGATTTAGGGTTTAGGGTACTTCCCTACTAGGGACAGGACTGCGTGTTGGGTCCCTTGTCATGTAACACTTGTATACACCATACATAGTAAGGGCCCATACTTCGGATCCCTATAAACAAGGGTATGGGACCATACTAAGGCCCTAAACCCTAAACCCTATCCCTAAACCCTAAACCCTAAACCCTAAACCCTAAACCCTAAACCCTAAACCCTAAACCCTAAACCCTAAACCCTAAACCCTAAACCCTAAACCCTAAGCCAGGACTGCGTGTTTAGCATCTTCGACTTGCATGACTGTTGGCACCTCCTCTCTGCGGTGGCGCTGGCGCTCTTCAGCATGCCCCTAGCACGCTGGACTTTAGGGTTTAGGGTTTAGGGTTTAGGGTTTAGGGTTTAGGGTTGTCCCTGAAGCTTTTTGCCCTCAAAAGCCCTGAAGAAAGGTTTAGGGTTTTACCCCTAAACCCTAAACCCCGAAACCCCAAAGCCGCTAAACCCCTCTACCCCTAAACCCCTCTACCCCTAAACCCTAAACCGTCCTCAACCCCAAACCCTAAAACCTTAAACAGAACCCCAAGACCCTAAGCAGGGGTCTATCGGTAGTGGCACCTCCCGTGCCTGTTGGTCTTCATCCCCGTATAATTTTTAAGAAATGTACCGTACTGAATATGTATCTGGGCTCTTTGGGGTGAGCACTTCTAGAATTATTCTAGGGTTCTGCGTCTATGTACCCTAAAGAGGGTCACAAGTACAGTTACCATGCTTATAACCCTAACTATAGCTGCCCATGAAACTCCAAGTATCCCTACGCCCTAAAACCTCAACTCCTAAACCCTCCTTGAACCCCAAACCCAAGAAGGGGACCCCGATTGCTGACACTGCAACCATGAACTAGCCAGCATGCTAAAAGCCTTCTGCAACGCCCCTAAACCCTAAACCCTAAATCCTCAACCCTAAACCCTAAACCCTACACCCCAAACCCTAAACCCTAAACCCTAATCCCGAACCCAAGAGGTTCATTCTGGACATCCGGGTCAATTCCTGGGCTCGGAACTCGGGGATCCAAGTCATCGCCGAGCAGCCGGCAGACCACTACTCCCGGGTTCTCTCCGAACTCGATGCCGAGGCGCCTAAGTCTACGTAGCCCTAAACCCTAAACCCTAAACCCTAAACCCTAAACCCTAAACTCTAAACCCTAAACCCTAAACCCTAAACCCTAAACCCTTGGGATAGATCATATCTTCCTCCTACTGTGTTTAGTAGGATCATATTGAAGGGAGGGCCATCCTGGGAGTCCCAGAGACGCAATGTCCGCAGGTTTAGGGTTTAGGGTTTAGGGTTTAGGGTTTAGGGTTTAGGGTTTAGGGTTTAGGGTTTAGGGTTTAGGGTTTAGGGTTTAGGGTTTAGGGTTTAGGGTTTAGTTGGGAGGTTCACGCCCCAATTATCAGTCTACCTATAACTTTCTAATAGAACCTTAGGGGCCTTTGATGTACAGTTCTTGATTGGGGTTATAAGTACCCTGAACCCCCAAGTAACCCTAAACCCTAAACCCCACTGGAGTCTCTGGGGTTCTTAGAACTGTTGACCCACGTTCGGCTGGGCGGGGGAGGGTTTAGGGTTTAGGGTTTAGGCTTTCGGCTTTAGGCTTTAGGCTTTAGGCGTTAGGCTTTAGGCTTTAGGCTTTAGGCTTTAGGCTTTAGGCTTTAGGCTTTAGGCTTTAGGCTTTAGGCTTTAGGCTTTAGGCTTTAGGCTTTAGGGCCTCCATGTCCTCTAGGGTCTTTTAACGTGGAGGCCGGGGGGGGGAGGTGGGCAGAATCTAGAACCTACGAACCCTACAACCCTGCAAACCCTGCAATCCTTACAAAACCCTACAAGCCTACTACGCCCTAAACCCCAAACCCTAAACCCTAAACCCTAAACCCTGCAAACCCTACAAACCCTGGAGGACCTTAAGGTGTCTTTGGCCGACGACTCGTTTTCAACAAGCGCCGAGGCAGCCTTTTGTGTCCTGTCCCTACGACACCCGGTTCTAGGGTTTAGGGTGTACTTGAAGGTTCATGGTACTTACTAACCACTTATAACTGTACTTATAACCCTACTTATAATTGGGATAACCCCTACAAGGCCCTTTAGGGGTATTGTAAGTAGGGTTATAAGTACAGTTATAATTGGTTAGTAAGTACCATGAACCTTCAAGTAGCCCTGTGAATCCAAGGCTGTCACAGTGACCTTGAAGCTTTCAGCCTCACTGAAGGGACGCTGAAGCCCTGAACGCTTGTGTTTCGGCGGGTGGTTGGGCTCTGCGAGGTTTCTGGGTTTAGGGTTCTATAGGTTTTATGTAGCTTTTATGGAGCTTTCAGGCTTCTTGGGGTTCGTGGGGTTCATAAGACGGGGGCCGTTTGGGGGTTTGCAGGGCTGATAGGTGATCCAGGTTCTGAGTATCGGCGGCTTGGGCAGGATTTTTGGCTTAGTGCTCCGAGTAGAGGGGTCTAGGGTTTACGGTTTAGGGTTTAGGGTTTAGGGTTTAGGGTTTCGGGTGCACGTGTACAGGCAGGCAGAAGACCTTTGCATGAGGGCTGCTCTACTTTCAGAGCTTGCTGTTCTGATTTCTCGAGATTCTAGAACAGCCCTCCAAATTCATGATTTTGGGTGCTCCTTTGCACGGCTGGGCAGCCACCGGAGTTTTGGCGAATTGCCGTGGACTGCATTTCTCCACCCTTTCGGCCCATAAGTGGCACTACAGCAATGATATCCGCACGCTGAGGCTGCTAACTCCAAAACCCTAAGCCCAAAACCCTATGTAACCACAAGGTACGTTACTCTACTATTTGCTTAAGAACCCCCTCCAACAAAATTAAAATGAAACTGTTCTTCCTTATAAGGGTGACCATCTTGGGATGTTCCCCCTTATACTAACGGTCCTGAATTGGGAGTATAGTACCCCCTACTATAGCCCTGCGAAGGACTGTTTGTTTCAGGGGGAACATCCCAACGAATCCTTATTGTTATTATTAGTACTACGACCATTACTATGATGATGATGACGATTTTTTACGATTTATTATTATTGTTATTATTTTTAGTATTGTTATGATTATTAATCAAGGCCTGCTCCATAAGGAAGGAATTAAAAGACTAGTCGGCCTGAGAAAATATTATGAGGGTAACATAGGGATTATTCTCTTTGATTCTCTGAACCCTAACCCTGACCCTAAACCCTAAACCCTTCTTTTTTGGGGGGGGGGGGGTCTTAAGCAAATAGTAGTACCAGGCATGTCAGGAGCCGAAGCTCACCACCGGTATTGTTATCCCTTTATGCATAGGGTTTAGGGTGTAGGGTGTGGGGTTTAGGGTTTAGGGTTTAGGGTTTAGGGTTTAGGGTTTAGGGTTTAGGGTTTAGGGTTTAGGGTTTAGGGTTTAGGGTTTAGGGTTTAGGGTTAGCTCCCCAGGAATGCACATTCGAGCCAAGTAGGCCCTTCTAAAGTGCCAGCAGCGTGCTGATTTTCAAGCTCGGGGCTTCTGAAGCGAGCCTGAAGACAGTCAGGGTAGCCTCTCAGCCCGATCTCGCAGTGACACCACCGCCGAAGCCGCAGTGAAAAAGGCCGCCCCTTTGCAGGAAGTTGCGCCTTTAGGGTTTAGGGTTTAGGGTTTGGGGTTTGGGGTTTGGGGTTTGGGGTTTGGGGTTTAGGGTCCTGTCCCAAAAGCCCAGACCCGTAAATGCCCATAAGCACCCGCTAAACGCTCAAAAGCCTGCCTACACCGATGCTAGCATAAAGCGCGAACGAAGAAGAGAAAGAAAACGGGAAATACAAAAAACAATATATATATATGTTTATATATATATATATGTATAAACATAAGTAAATAAATAAATAAAAATGCATATATATATATATATGTATACATCTTCTTCTCCCCGCCTAAACCCTATAAGCCCTACAAACCCCCATAGACCCTACAAGCCCTGTAAACTCTCTAAACCAAACCCTGCAAACCCCTATAAACCCTAAACCCCTGGGGTGCACTTGAAGCCAGCTGGAAGCGGCATTGAAGGTGCCGGTGGCAGCAGCGAAATCAAGGTTTTGTGAGCCTTTCTTCTTTTTGAACAGGGGTTTAGGGTTTCGGGCTTAGGGTTTAGGGTTTAGAGTTTCGTGGTGCCAGGCTAGTAGCGAAGACTTTGTCGATACCGTGCCAGAGCCCATAGAATGTCTCCCATAAGTTGCCCTCAACCCTAAACCCTAAACCCTCAACCCTCAACTCTAAACCCTAAACCCCAAACCCTAAACCCTAAACCCCAAACCCCAAACCCCATGCCTCCTAGAGTTTGCCCAAGCGACGATCGTTTGCCCAGTACTTGTCATACCTTCGCGCCCATGTTCCGCTCCTTGGCAGCCCCCAGTGGTACCCTTTTCCGCTTGTTTTGCTCTGGGTTCCCTTATACAGGAACCAACCAAAAAAGGGTTTAGGGTTTAGGGTTTAAGGTTTAGGGTTTAGGGTTTAGGGTTTAAGGTTTAGGGTTTGGGGTTTAAGGTTTAGGGTTTAGGGTTACTGGGCTACCAAGGCTCGGTGTTCTTACTTGGCTCAGCTCTTGGTCTCCGCGATGTGCCAAGGATGCGATTTGTGTTTGGAGGTTTTAGGGTTTAGGGTTTAGGGTTTAGGGCTTAGGGCTTAGGGCTTAGGGTTTAGGGTTTAGAGTTTAGGTACTTGGGTTGCAAGTGATTTTGGTAACTGTACTTGTAGCCTTGGTTTCATCCTCCTTCGCCCATGAGACCCCAAGCACAAGAGCATGAGGTGCATTCGATGCCTTGACTACTCACATGGGGCATTCCCAAAGAAAGCTAGGTAGGCCCCTGGGATATTGCATATTTTCCCTTATTGGGTTTAAGAGGATCATATTCAGGAATATTTTTCAGAGGCTTTAAGGGGCCAACCTAGAAAGGTAATACAGGGGTCGGAATGCTTACTGAGTACTAGTATTCCCTTATGACCCCTTTTATCGTTATACTATACGAACCCCCAAAACCCTATTCTAATCATAAAGCCCCTATATCAGCCTTTTTTTTGGGTTGTACTATACGAACCCCCCAAAACCCTATTCTAATCATATTATATCACCCTTTTTTTTTGGGTGGGGGGGGGGGGGTGGGGGTCCCATATTCAGGATGTCCCTATTTTGGGGGGCCTATCAGGGAGCCCCCCCTGTTGTACGACATGCTGACATGGGCCCATGAATCAAAAGAGTCCACCGAACTCCCCTGAAGCTCTAGGGTTTAGGGTTTAGGATTTAGGGTTTAGGGTCGCCCAGGATGTTGGCAGACTGACGATGGATGTTTCTCGAGAAGCGAATGGCTACGTTATTGCGACCTGTCAGCAAATCCAAGGCTGGCAGCAAGACTGGTCGAACGCATTGCCAGTGTGTAGTCATGGCTGGCGCCTTCCACAAGAGCAATCCCTTCCACCTAATGTTAAAGTTAATGTACCACTTCATCGTCCTTGAATCCTGAACCCGAAACCTCAAACTGGATGATTGGCGGTCCTTTGACGACACGTGCTTGAGGAGTCCGTTGTTGCAAGTCACGACACAGTGCACGACAAATCCGTGTACATTCAGCTGGCATCATGGAGTGAGGGCTGCTTCTAGTTGCAGACTAAACCCTAAACCAGCCTAAACCCTAAACCCCCCTCGTGGCGGCACTGCACCCGGTTCAGGGCCTCTGAAGATCGGCCGTTTCGCCCACCTCTGTAGTAGATAGGGGACACGTGCCCGCGTCGCTTCCTCTCCTACCGGGTCTGCTCGATGTCGGGGCCCCGCTCATCGCAGTACTGGCCCGGCCAGAGCATGACACACCTCAGTTGGTGTCGGTCGGATCCGCTCAGTCATTCTGCATTCTCGGGCCGGCATTGCCTGGCCGGCCTGCTGGCATGCACCAGCAACGACAAGGCCACACAACCTGGTGATCCCCAAAATAGTCGGGAGTTCCGACAGACTTGAGACAGCTCCCCCCCCCCTCCACAAGCGACGACGAAAGCTTGCCAGCCACCTTGGCGTGGTAAAATGAGGAGGAACCATCCTGCGGCGACAGCAATCCTTGAACATTTGCTTGGCGGTTCATGGGACTTAGTAACTACTGCTTATAACTGGGCTTATAGCCCTACTTATAATCCCTCAAGTGGACTTATAGGGGTTATCCCACTTATAAGTAGGGTGATAAGCCCAGCTACAAGTAGTTACTACGTCCCATGAGCCTCCAAGTAAGTAATTCAACACCTGAAAACTTAAACATTCAGATGTGACTGACTGAACTGAGGATTCCGAACCCTGCAACCCGCCAAGTGGCAGCAACTACTGCCAGGCCTTTGAAGGGTTTTCGGTGGATTGCAACCCTAAACCCTTAGCCCTAAGCCCTAAGCCCTAAACCCTAAACCCTAAACCCTAAACTCATCAGCCCGCGTGAATTCAGCCTTTTGCCATGCAGGCGTCTGTACAATCCGCCCTGGCTGGGCTTCAAGGTCTTCAGGACTACTTGGAGGGTTTAGGGTTTAGGGTTTAGGGTTTAGGGTTTAGGGTTTAGGGTTTAGGACTACTGGAGGGCTCCGGCTGAGACCGCCTGCAGCGCGAGTGTACGCATTGCGATTTCCAAGACACACGCAATCCCATCGAACTTCCCGCAGCGTTGTCTTCAGTGGTGGCCCTGTGCAATTCTCGTCAGATCCCGCCTCAGACTTGCTTGCCTGTGAAGAGATCACCTCTCGTGATGTTAGGGTTTAGGGTTTAGGGTCTAGGGTCTTGGGTTTAGGGTTTAGGGTGCTCCGAGAGACAGGACCCCGGAGCTCGGATTGGCGCAGTTCTCGCCGTGCAGGACTGCGGGGGCGGTTTAGGGTTTAGGGTTTGGGGTTTGGGGTTTAGGGTTTAGGGTTCAGGGTGTTGGCAAGTATTCCAGGGCAGTGCAGCACGACAGCCAATGCATTCGAACTAGCAATTACCAGGACGAGCTATTATACCCTAGGGTTGACTATGGGGATTATGTATAGGGCCAAATAGCCCGTCCTGGTGGCATTGCACATCAAAAGAACCTTGCGTGTTTAGTTAAAGTCTTGGTGCTGACGCGCTGCAGCAAACCATGTGCAGCAATAGGAAGCAGAGCTTGCACATTCTCGACTATGAGCGGGTTTGCGACGTCCGTACACTTGCTGTCCTGCACTTGAAACATTTGATCTGGTTGCCCAGTGGTACCCTTTACCCTTTTTTTGTTTACGGGCTCCCTTAGAAAAGAAGCTAGCCAAAAAAGGGTTTAGAGAAACCCTAAACCCTACACCCTAAACCCCAAACCCTAATCCCCAAACCCTAAACCCTAAACCCTAGACCCTTTTTATAATATTGTTACTTGGCTACCAAGTTGAGGGACTATGGCCAATACTCGTAGCAGTAAGCTAGAAGCGCTTCTCTGGTGGCCTCACTTGAAGGTTCATGGGACTTAATAACCACATAACTGGGCTTATAACCCTACTTTCATTGGGATAACCCCTACAAGGCCCTTTAGGGGTATTATAATTAGGGTTATAAGCCCAGTTATAAGTGGTTATTAAGTCCCATGAACCTCCAAGCAGATCATTTCGTCCATAAGCCATGCTGGTCTACCAAGACTCTGCATCATTTGGGGGTTTACGATATTGGGGGGGGGGGGGGGGGTACCTTAGTGGGGTCCTTCTGAATAAGGGAATCCTACTTTTTGGGGGTCCTACTTTAGGGGTCCCCTATATTCGTAAACCCCCTAAACCTTAAACCCTAAACCCGAAACCCTAAACCCTAAACCATCGCAGGACCAATCTTCCGAGGCTTGCTGCATGCAGGGCACCGACTACGACGAGTTTGTGTTCGAGAACGCGCCAAAGCACGACCTGAGGAGCAGTGCGCACAGAATCCTGAACTCTAGACCGTGAACCCTGAACCCTAAATTGCCCTAAACCCTGAACCCTAAGCCCTAAACCCTAAACGCTAAACCCTAACACCCTAAACCCTGAACCCTAAACCCTAAACCCTAAACCCTAAACCCTGAACCCTAAACCCTGAACCCTAAACCCTAAACCCTAAAACCCTAAACCCTAAACCCTAAACCCTAAACCCAAGACCTGGCCAAGAGCGGAGCCAACGGCCAGGGGAGTTTGCATGAGCGCCCAAATCTTCCAAAGTATCTTAACTAAGGAATGCGACTTGGAGGGGCTAAGGGAAGGTTCATGGGTAGGTATATTTATAGGGTTTTGGGGTTTAGGGTTTAGGGTTTAGGGCTGAGGGCTGCTTGAAGGGTTCTAAGTATGGTGGTTTTTTCCTTCTCGCCCTATTTAGGTACTTACTACCCTTCTTGTAACTACCCATGAATCTCCAAGTAACTCCTTAGATCACACGGGCAGGTTTTTCTGTCAAGGTATGGTAACAGTATATTCCTCAATTTCAGTCATTTGGAAGATATGGGAAACTGCTGTTTGTTTTTGTGGTTCCCTATACGAATACTCTGGAATAGATCTGGGGAAGCCCAAACCTCCAGCTTAAAGCCTAAACCCACAGCCCCTGCCCCCCTATTTCGATAAAAACCCGTCTCCGCACAGCCTCCACTACTCCTTACTTGAGGAATATTCCTTAAACCATACATGGAACCCTCTTCTACTTTGAGAAGTATTCCTGACTTGATTGGGTAATGGAGTACCTGGGTCCCGCTGCAGGAACACCAGCACACCCTTGTTCGACAGCAGCACTGCACTGGTCATCATCGATGTGCAAAAGGCCAAGCCCTCAATCAGCAGGGGGAATGGAAGGGTGAAGAGCCCTAAACCCTAAACCCCAAGCCCTAAACCGGCATTAAGGTTTTGGGGCTTTAGGGCTCGGGGTTTAGAGGCCAGCTCGGGTGTTGTTTTCAGGTTTCAGGTTCTAGGGTTGAGTGCTCAGGGTTTAGGGGCAAGCTTAGGGCTTGTTCAGCGTTTAGGGTTTAGGGTTTAGGGTTTAGGCTTTGGGGCTTCATCTTGCGAAGCTCTGGAAGACTCAAGGACTTCACTGTCGGTTCCTTCGCGCAGCCTTGCTGGGGCCAGGGCGGCGAAACCTTCCTCAGGAGCTCCGGCAGCCTTCATAAAGTTAGCCAGGGCTCATTTTCTCCCTAAGCCCTAAACCCTAAACCCTAAACCCTAAGATACTAAACCCTAAACCCACTGCTAGACTGCTAGACAGCCCCCGCGAGCAAGAAAGTAGTGTTGCCCTTGTAGTTCGAAAATTAGGGTTAGCAGTATGGTATCTATTCTTACAACCGTATTTAAGGTAGATATAACCCTACTTATACCTACTTATAAGTACCCTTGAACCTCCAAGTAGGTTTGCCAGAGCCGCAGCAGACTTTTCAGATTTTGGGGGCTCTTCTTAGGGCGCTTTCGCTGGAGAAGGGCAGCAGATGGTGGTGGTTTAGGGTTTAGGGTTTAGGGTTTAGGGCTTAGGGTTTAGGGTTTAGGGTTCAGGGTTAGGCCCGTCTTTCATTCAGAGGGGTTGTCGTGCTTGGATTTTTGTGCTGGCCTCGGAAATAGGTTAAGTGCGGAGACACGTAAGAACTGCCCCTCACAGCTAGTTAGAACGCAGCCTTCACACCCCGACGCCGTGCATCGTTCCAGGAAAACGACGCAGCTTATTCGGGCAGCTGCCGCACCCTGGCAGCATCATTCTTTGGCACGGCCAGAAGACAAGAACTTCGAAAGTGGTCTCGCAGCACGTCAGTCATGAAATGCGTATGCTTGTCGCTAGGTCTGCAGTAGTCTACTTGGAGGTTCAAGGGTACTTATAACCCCATGTATAACTGTACTTATAAGCCCCCTGAAGTCCTCTAAGTAGGTGATAAGTATACTTATAATTGGGGTTTATATGAACCTCCAAGTTGCCTGAACAGAGAGCCCAAGAGCTGATTCCTCTTCTATCTTCTGGTAAGGATGCTGGTGCCACTGTCATCGCCAGCAAAGATATCCACCCCAGCAACCACTGCAGCTTTGCCGGGGAGGACGACCAAGATCATCTCATGAGTTTCCCTACACCCCCCCCCCAATACTACCCCCCCCCCCCCCCCCAAAAAAAAAAAAAAAAAAAAACAGGCGATTTAGGGATAATTAAGCCTAACTAGGCTGATTTAAGGGGGGAACTTAGGGGGATAGTATAGAGGGGGGGGGGGTGGGTAGTAGCCCTAAACCCTAAACCCTAGAGGGGGTAGCAGGGGAACCCATGATTGAAGCAAGTAGGGAAACCCATGAAGATCCTTTAACAGCGGGACACCTTGGCTCCAAGCGCCAGTCCCTGACACCCCCGTTAGCCAGAGAGCACTTAAGGAAAACACCTTAAACGATATATGGGTCAGGTTGGAGGGTTTAGGGTTTAGGGTTTAGGTCTTAGGTCTTAGGGTTTAGGGTTTAGGGTTTAGGGTTTAGGGTTTAGGGTTTAGGGTTGCGGGGTCAGCCAGGACAGGTGCCGGAACCAGAAGGACACGACCGAGGGAACCGCCACAGCCAGGCCCACGCCATGCATTGGCTTCTGGATGCTCTGGAGCCCTTCCTTCCTTCCCTCCCCTCCCCTCCCTTCCCCTGCCCTGTTTAGGGTTTAGGGTTTAGGGTTTAGGGTTTAGGGTTTAGGGTTTAGGGTTTAGGGTTTAGGGTTTAGGGTTGAGAGTTTAGGGAGTGTTCTTCAGGTACGTGAATGAGTTCCCAAGCCACTGCAGCCTCCCGGCCACACAGGAGGCTCAGGATTTGAGTGTGCCGGTTCCAACATGTATATAAAGATGTTAGTATAGTTTTTTACCGCATTTTCCGAGGAAAAGCATAAATTCGGACAAAGACGAAGACAGCAAAACCATAGGTGTGGATCATGAAGGGGGGGGGGGGGGTGACCATATATATATATATGTATATATATATATATACATATGTATGCTACCCCCCCCCCCCCCAAAGATCTACCCTTTCTTTCATACATTTATGCCTCTCTAAACCCTACCTTGACTCTTTCTCAGCATGAGCACTATAAGAAATATCTGGTCTTACGAAGTGATTACATAGAGCTACTGTGTGGAGGTGACACTCAGGCTCAGGCGTTCTCCTCGGCTTTCCCGTATAGGGTTTAGGGCTAGGGCTACAGGACCTTAAGTATTGAAATTCTTAAACCCTAAAACCTTAACATGAACCCCACCTGAGTTTAGGGTTTATAAGTTTAGAACTGAGGCACTCCGGCGTGCGTACAGGGTGCTGTTCAACACAAATCTCAAACTCCAAACTCGGTCTCCGACTTAAGTACAGGGTGCGGTTCAACACAAACCTCAACCTGTATACCAAGAAACCTGAAGATCCAAGCATACTACAATTCTGAAGGCGTGCATTGTATGTTTGTTCTGCACAAATGGTGGGCATATTCCATATCAGTGCAGCTCGTACCACAGAGCAACCTTACGTACCCCTTCAACTCAAAACCACCCTAAACCCTCTCTATACTAAGATATAACTTCACAGTTTCGGTAGCATGCTATTTTCCTCTATTCGTACGAGACGTGTCTCTAAACAAAACCTTCTGGCTTACCTACCCCGCCAACTCAAAACAATCCTACACCCTCTCGCTATATTAAGATATAGCAGCACAGGTCCCCTAACATGTTATATCATTTCTTCTTGGAGACGCACGACCACCTGAAGCACCCTGAATACAGTACTTTTTTGTAGTAAGGATGTGATACCCAGTTGCTTGGGACGAATGTCATATAAGACCTTATGTGCTTGTGAGTCTTGCGGTCTATGGGAAAATGAGCATTTCCTTGAGAAATCATACATGTTGGGAGACCTGTGGGGAACATTGAGAATGAACAGCAAGATACTTGCGAGCAATTACTAGCAGCCTGTTCGCATCACCCTATACCATATAGGGTTTAAACCCTAAAGGGCTTACCCCATGAGTGTTTTAGAGATAATCCTGAAGCCCTAAACCTTTAAACCTTAAAGGGTTTAATGGTATACAAATCTAAGGTCTGGGCATGTATACCTTCAGCGCCTATAGGGTTAAAACCTTTGAACCTTTTAGAGCCTTATGGTCTTTGAGGGTTCTGACCCTAAAGGGTTTAGGGTTTAGGGTTTGAATGTTTCAACCTTAATCCCTAAGGATTGAACTTTATGGGCTTAGGCTTAAATGCCCAAATCTTACACGCGAAGCCTTTAAACCTCCTATAGGTTTAGGGGCTAAGGGTTTGGGCTTAATTGCTTGACTCGACATGGTTTCGGGGGCTTCTCTTTAAAAACCGTAAACCCTTAACCGATAGTTTTTTTAAACAGGTTGTAAAGTACAGAATAAGCCGTTGGAGGGGGGGGGGGCGGCAAGCTTGCTTGAGAGCATATGAATAGGAATCAAATTAAACTGGCTGGCAATCCTGTCAAACCCATGGCATACCATTTTAAGATCAATGGACATCCTGTGCAACTTAGTAGGAAGCGTACTAAGTTGAGCACGCATCTTATCAACAGTAAAGCCAAATACTTACTAAAACCAAAAAGAATCTTCAATCCGGCCCCCGATTGAATTTCAATCGTTTAAATCGTTTTTCAATCGGCCTCACGGTTAATATACGAACACTTACATAGTAAGATGGCCCCCCCACCCCCAACCCTAAAGCCCTGAAACACACCCAAAAGAAAAACAACACGAACACTTACATATTAACATGGCCCCCCACCCCCAACCCCAAAACCGTAAAAGACAACCAAAACATGAAAATACGTAGATCTTTGGGGGGGGGGGGGAACAATATATATATATATATATATATATATATGCATGCATATAATGCTCATATTCTCCTACTTGGTTTTGATTTGCAACATACATGCAGTCTCAGTATTACTGACAGCTGCAGCTTCGAGTTCTAAGCGCAACAGCACGTGCCACAAAGCACTTCGCAGTCACCCAGAGACTCCACTACCCCCAACAAGAAGAAGCCTAGGATGCCCAGTACCCTTATTCCCTTTTTGGTAGGTTTAGGTTCCCTTATAAACCCCTTTAAGCAAAACAGGGCGCCCTTTTTCATCCTAGGTTACTGGGCAACCTAGAAGCATTCCTTCAGCCAGAACCAGATTCCCTATTGCGATGCAAGGCGCAGTCCTTAATCACTTGATATTGCTGAGCCCTAAACCCTAAACCCTAAACCCTAGGGTACCCTAAATTTAAACCCTAAACCCAGGTTCCTAAGCTCAAAAGACTCCGGGTGATCTCCCTTCAAGTGTCACTTAGGCTTCGACATGAAGGATGGCCATGTTGTGCCGCAGAAGGCCAGGATGTAGGGTCTAGGGTAAAGGGTCTAGGGTTTCGGGTCGAGGGTTTAGGGTCTAGGGTCTAGGGTTTAGGGTCCAGGGTTTTAGGGTCTACGGTTTAGGGTCTAGGGTTTAGGGTTTCGGGTCTAGGATCGAGGGTTTAGGGTTTAGGGTTAGTTTAGGGTTCAGCAAGCGCCACGGAGATCGCATGTGGAGTTGAACTACGCTATCCGTACACATCTGGAAACGATTCGAAGATCCTTTGGGGGGGGGGGGGGGTCCTGCCACGAAGGATTCGACTGGGGTATAGGACACCCATCTATGGAAAGTCAAAAACCCTAAACCCTAAACCCTAAACCCTAAACCCTACACCCTAAACCCTAAACCCTAAACCCTAAACCCCGGTCTCTCCAGGCTCCCGAGACACCTTTCTGCAGATTCCTGGAGTCCATCGAGGTCAAGGCCCCGTGGGAGCAAGAGACCTGAAGTTGAAAGTGGCCGCCCTGCAGCCGGTTTAGGGTTTAGGGTTTAGGGTTTATAGGGTTTAGGGTTTAGTGTTTAGGGTTTATAGGGTTTAGGGTTTAGTGTTTAGGGTTTAGGGTTTAGGGGTGTAGGGTTCACGTTTCGCGTCGTTTTGAATCTCGAGCTCCGAAGTCGGAGGTTCCCCTTTGTGCTCTCTCCGACTTTGTTGGCGCTGACTTCGATCCAACCTTGGCGGAGGCCCGAATACTGAAGCAGGATTTTGGGGTTCAGGGTTTAGGGTTTAGGTTTTTTGCGTTGAGGGTTTAGGCAGAGCAGCTTTCACCAAGAAGGGTCAAGGATGTGTCCCGTGGCCCGTCGGCAAGCCACAGACGTCTCATCTAGCCACGAATTGCAAAACAAGATGAATAACTTACTGGCTCTTAGTAGGGCATGAGGGAATTAGAAGCCTAAAGAGCCCAATACCCCTCAATCCAGGAATATCCCTGAAATCGTACTAAGGACCCCCTATAGTTTAAGGTTCATTCTTCAATTAAGGGGTTTTGGGGCTCTCTGGGTACTTATAGAATCTCTTAAAGTCAGGGGAGATGTAAGGTACTTAGTTTCCTCATTGCGTACCGAGAACCAGTCATGACAGGCCACCCCTGCAGTTCGCGAGCAACAGTCCGCCTTCTTGACCGTAAACTTGGGATGTTCCCCCCTTATACTAACAGTCTTTAATATTTAATAGGCATTCTAAAAGGGGTTATTATAATCCCTATGCTAGGGATTCCAGGGAAACATCCCAACCGTAACGATGTAAGGTTTAAGGTTTAAGGTTAGGGTTGCGTCGGGTGAGTTTCATGCCGTGGCCATGCTCTGAATGCTAATTTGTGCTGTTCGTATCTTGCTCCTGTGCCAAACCGGTTCTGGGCACTACTGATAACACCTCTCAGTGAGTACATGCCACACCCTCCCGAATTGCTAGTCCCAGACACACATGGGTGCTAGTAGCACTCGAGATTGCCGTCCGGTGGTAGCATGTGCCACACCTTTGCGAAGTTGGACATATTTGTGTTAGGGGGAGAGGGGACACCTTGAAGGGAGGGAGGGGGGAAAGGGGCTCCCTAAACCGGAACCCCAGACCCAACAGGCTCTGGCTCCCATGTGCACGCAAACCCTAAACCCTAAACCCTAAACCCTAAGCAGTTGGGAGGCCCTTTCTTTGGTGGATCGCAGTCAGGCACGGCTCAGCTCGAGATCTACCCTTGGTTAAGGCTAAGGAGTATGCAGTATACATTCTTTAGCACTTTGTAGTTTAAGGTCCAAGATGAATTCCTGAATTACGCGGTACTTGGCCCGGAACCTGGACCTAAGCCTAAACCCTCAACCCTAAACCCTCAACCCTAAAATGCCTCAACCCCTAAACTTTGCTCCTTACTTGAGGGCTTCTGTGCTCTCTGGGTAGCCTGCAGGGGATCCAGTACAGAAGCCACTTTCGGAACAGTAGGGTTTAGGGTTTAGGATTTAGGGTTTAGGGTTTAGGGTTTAGGATTTAGGGTTTAGGGTTTTAGGGTTTTAGGGTTGAGGGTTTAGGGTTTAGGGTTGAGGGTTTAGGGTTTAGGGTTTAGGGTCTCGCGCCCATTGCTGCCCACTTCGAAGGTGGAAGTTGTCTTCAAAGGCTTCCACGCGAACTACGACTCCTTCAGCGCCATGGAGCACCGCGAAACAAAGGAAGGCTGCGCGGCTACATGGTTCGGGTTTTCTTTTCTACTGTTAGCTTAACAACCCCTCAAAAAAAGGAAATAAAAGTTCCTATACTACGCTTGTAAGGAAGAATATTATATATTTTTTGGGGCTTCTTAAGCAATTGGGAGTATACTCTGTGTGTGTGTGTGTATCATCAGTGGACGTTCAAGTGCGTCCTGGCGGTTTGGAATGATGTATTCTCTCAGATTCAGTTGAGGAGAGCAGGGGCTTCAGCACTGGTGAATCTGAAGGCTGCAAGGTTCACTTTGCGACCCCAAACCCCAAACCCCGAACCCCGAACCCCGAACCCCAAACCCCAACGCCTCAGTTGGCTCACGTTGCGTTGCATAAAAATCGCACTGGGAAGCCCAGGTGCCATGCGGGTTCAGGATGAGGAGAGTGCGGCCACAGGCGCGAGAGCGCGCTTGCGCTTGAAGAAGCACAGAGGTTGCAGCTGTTCAAGGCTTTAGAGGCTTAGGGTATCTAGGGCTTTTCTATGCAGCCCTAAGCCCTAAGCGCCATGCTGCCTCCGCGTTAGTGCTTCTTTGGGCTTCAGGTGGCTTTGCCTTGCCCGCCGCTCGCGATGACGCCTGCCACGGCAGGTGGGACCAGGTCGAGTGTGCCTCGGCAAAACGCATGTCCTGGACCCTTAAAAACATAACCGATAAACCCTAACTACATGTTTTAGAAGCATACCCTTGCTGAGTTTAAGAGAGTGGAGTTCGGGCGAGTTTAGGAGACTGGTGTTCGGGCAAACTATACTTTGGCTAATACGTAGGGATGCAGGTTTAGGACTTGGGCTTCAGAACCCAAAGCCAGAACTTTGTGCAGATGCTGGCTATGAAGACCCCTTGTAGGATTCTTAGGTAACCTACATATTGATCAAGAGTCTCATTTTCGCTGCTCCTGCCCAACGGCTGCAAGCTACAAGCCCTCTCCAAATCCCAAACCCTAAACCCAAAGGCCCGAAACCCTAAACCCGAAACCTCTCAGCGAAGGCTATCCCACAAAGGCGGAACTCGACGACCCGAGTGCAGGACCTCACCGTATTTGCATCTGTAGAAGCCCATGGACAGGCAGTTTTTGGAAGCACCTAAACCCTAAGCCCTAAACCCTAAACCCCTATACCCCTATACCCCTAAACCCCTAAACCGCTGAACCCCTAAACCTCTAAACCCCTAAACCCCTAAACCCCTAAACCCCTAAACCCCTAAACCCCTAAACCCCTAAACCCCTAAACCCCTAAACCTAGTCGACCAGATCATGCCACTTAAGCCTTCGATCTTAGGAACTCTACTTGGAGTTTCAAGGGTACTTATCGCCCCATGTATAACTGTACTTATAAGCCCCCTAAGTCCTCTAAGTAGGCTATAAGTAAACGTATAATTGGGGTTATAAGTACCCTTGAACCTCCTAGTAACCCCTAAACCTCAACCCTTAACTAGGTCGGTCCTTGGGGCATTTTATATTTTCCCTTGTTGGGTTCAAGAGGCTCATATTTAGTAAGCCCTAAATCCTAAACCCTAAACCCTAAACCCTTTTTGGGGAGCCCTTAAGGGCCATCCTAGTTAAACCCTTTGGTAGGTTTTTGCCCTTGCATGAAGAGTGTGGGCTGGATTGAAGAGAGGGCCCTCGAACCTCTACTACTACTACTACTACTACTACTACTACTACTACTACTACTACTACTACTACTACTACTACTACTACTACTACTACTACTACTACTACTACAATGCTCACATAAATAGTGCAGTAGAATTGCTATGATGCAGGGCTTCCAGAGGGAATATCTTATGGGGAATCGGATTGCGGGTGCAGCAGCCTGACGCTGCGGCGTGCTGGCATATGTTGGCATGGAGCGCAGGATAGCGCGGTGATCTCTAAACCCAAAACCCTGAACCCTGAACCCTGAACCCTAAACCCTAAACCCTAAACCCTAAACCCTAAACCCTAAACCCGAAACTAAACCCTAAACCCTGAACCCTGAACCCTAAACCCTAAACCCTAAACCCCAAACCCTAAACCCTAAAAATCTTAAACCCTCAACCCTAAACTGTGGCTTGCTTTGTACCAAGGCGGGCATCCTCCCATCTGGCAACCCCCCTTCATGGTAGGTAGGTAACCCTAAAACCTCAACCCGTTTCTGGGGGTTCCCATTGTCGGACGGAGCCCGGAGCCTCTTCCTTTGACGACCCAAAAAGGGGACCAGAATTTAGAATTCTGGGGACCCGAATTTCGAGGCCTCAACCCAAAACCCTAAACTCTGGGTATCTCTGGGTGTCGTACCCCTCGAAAAGGTCGGGTTTGGGGTTGAGGGATGTTGAGGGTTTAGATTTTGGGGTTTCGGATTTGGGGTTTGGGGTTCGGAGTCTAGGCTTTGAGGTTTAGGGACCATACCTGCCCTTGTGCCACCAGGACGCCGCAGCTTCGCATCGATCCTGACGGCCCGTAACATCAGGAAGACGCCCAGCTGGCCCACCTTGGGGTTTCGGGTTTAGGGTTTAGGGTTTAGGGTTTGGGGTGGTTTAGGGTTGGGGTGAGCGTAAGACTGTGGAGGGTTCCCAGAGAGCCCCAAAACCCCGTACTGAAGGATTTTTCCTTAAGCCATATAGGGACCTTGGTATGACTTAAGGTAGATTCCTTACCCTAAACCTGAAACCCTAAACCCTTAATTGAGGGGGGTTTTGGGCTCTTTGGGTTGGTGTTTAGGGTGTGGGCGTAATGACAGCTAAGGATTACGGAAGTACAGCGACTGGCTGTGATGTCTCGCGTTACGCCTTGCGAAAGACCTTCCCAGAGAGCCCAAAGCCCCTTAATTCAGGAATGCACCTTAAACCCTATAGGGGTCCTTAGCATGATATGAGTTACATTCCTAAACCCTAAACCCTAAACCCTAAACCCTAAACCCTAAACCGTAAGGTTTTATTCTTAATTAAGGGGTATTGGGCTCTTGGGGTTCCGGCTTGTCCACTCAGGATGGTGGTCATCGGCCTGGTCTACGACTTCTGCGTTAAGGCCGCTTCAGGGAGTTCTTTAGGTTTAGGGTTTAGGGTTTAGGGTTTAGGGTTTAGGGTTTAGGGTTTAGGGTTTAGGGTTTAGGGTTTAGGGTTTAGGGTTTAGGGTTTAGGGTCTTTCCCTGATGCACAGCTAATGGTTGAAATGCGCCAGGAAACTGCCATCTTCACCAAGGAGAACAGTCCCTCAACACAGGCCGGCGCTTGCTGACTTTACAATTGGTTGGAGCAGCATTGGCCCCAAGCATCTGAATTCCAAACTCGGGGTCCCTAAACCGTAAGCCCTAAACCCTAAACCCTAAACCCTAAACCCTAAACCCTATACCCCTGTTCACTTCAGCAGCTGAGGTCCGGGTTTTGGCTGACCTCACCCGGCCCAGCTTCGATGGTAAGCCAGGGGCAGCCTGGCAGCGGGTATGAGGGCCTTGTTTTTGTGCTTGTCATGATCTTCATATGTGTTCTGTTCTCAAAAGACAAGTGTATAACACACACACACACGCATATGTATATATATATATACATATATATATATATATATATCTATCTATGTATGTATGTATGTATGTATGTATGTATGTATGTACGTGTGTGTGTGTGTGTGTGTGTGTGCGTGCATATCCGTTTCTCAGTATTTTTTATGATTGTACATTCTTATGTATACATATATATATATATATACATACATACAATTATAACTGTAAATATAAACATAAAGACAAATATAAATGAATACTATATATATATATATAGATATCTATTGAAATTATGGTTATCCCAGTGGAACTTTTTTTCCCACAACTACCCATTGCCAAAAGGCAGCCCTGTTCAACCGGGAGGGATGGAGGGCAACGAACGGAGGACTTCTCAGACTTGGGCACAAATCTTGAAATCATGGTAGGGAATGAGGGAATTCGGGCCCTATCTATACCCTTCAAGGGATTACATAGGGTATATCATTCCCTCATTCCCTACTAAGAACCATATAACACTCCGACGGGTTGTTCACGCGCGCACGAAAGTGGACAAATGCGTTTTGTTTTGGTAAGCGCAGTACAAAACAGATGTCGGTAATTGTGTATCGCAATGTAAAACAGTTTGTTTTCAGGCAAAATTGCATTTTCTCTCGAGGAGTCCTCAGAACTCAGTTTAGCCCAAGGAAACACCACAGGCGCCGAGAGATTCGGCAGCCAAATCCTGGAAACATCGTGCCTGCCGAGTGCGAAAGACCCTGAAGCGTGCCGAGAAAACTGCGCGTGAACATCCCGTCGGAAGGAAGAACCAGCCAGTTTTTTGGAGCTCTGGCTTTGGGGCTCTTAGTCTTTGATCTAGCTTTTGGGCTCTTAGTCTTTGATCCTGTTTGTTGAAGCTGGCCTGCGCGTCAGGCACCCTACACCTCCGGCCTCTGTGATGGTCAGGACGACGCAAGATTTGCCGTGAATGATCGCATTGCCATTGCTGGGTTTCCGGAAATTTTGGGCACTCAGGGGGGTAAAAGGCGCTGTGAAAGGGCCTGCATGTGGAGATAGCTGAAATAGCTGCAAAGTCATCTCCTTCAGTAAATGATTCGGAAAATGAGTACAGCAGCCAACTAAGTGCAGCCTTTTGGTGTTGAAGAACGATTGCAATGCCAGGGGTTGGCAATTGATTGGTTCAAAAAAGCAGTCCAACGAAGCCACACTGACCCAAAGCAACAAACCCTAATTCCCTCCTCCGTGAACCCTGAACCCTCAACCCTAAACCCAAACCCTAAACGCAAAACACTACACCTTAAGCCCTAAGCCCTAAACCCTAAACCCTAAACCCTAAACCCTAAACCCTGAAGCTGAAACCTAGGATGCCCCTTGGCGCAAGCTAGAGGTTAAGCAAGGCCTTAGCATTACCCAAACAGCCCAATACCCCTAAGCTAAGGAAGCACCCTTGAGATCATGTTAAGGATCCCTTTAGAGTTTAAGGTCTATACCTTAGTTAAGAGGACCCTAAACCCTAAACCCTAAACCCTAAACCCTAAACCCTAAACCCTAAACCCTAAACCTGTTGGCCTCTCTGTATGACGCTCGGATATCAGATTGCAGCTGCAGGAATCTGCGAACGGGTTTTGTGCGGAAGGCGGTGGTACCAAACCCATGCTGCGAGCTCAGAAACCTAGGACAAGGGTTTAGGGTTTAGGGTTTAGGGTTTAGGGTTTAGGGTTTAGGGCTACTAGGACCGGGAGTAGGCCCTTGTTTCCTTTTTTTAGGGTTGGGGTTCCCTTATAATCCCCTTAAAGACCAAAGATGATTCCCTTTTTATTCCTAGGCTACTCCCGGGTCCAGAAACACCTTGCCTCAGGATAAGATGTACACATCAATTGTGTTTATAGGGTTTGGGAATGTAGGGGTTTCGGGATCGAGGGCTTAAGGGTGTAAGATATACACACCAATTGTACAGGGTTTGGGATGTCGGGGGTTTAGGGGTTGAGGGATGAGAAGGGTTTAACCCTAAACCCTAAACCCTAAACCCTAAACCCTAAACCCTAAACCCTGAACCCTAGGTTTTGGGGTTCAAGGGTACGTGGACTGCAGGGATGGCAGGGCGGAAAACCGAAGGCCCTCAAGGCCCGCAGGCTTCACAAGGCATTGTCTGAGATGATCGGATGATCCTCGAGCCCGAAATGCTTAACCCTAGTACCATTCAGCAGCCTGTTAGGGTATAGGGTTTTAGGGTTTGAGGGTTTAGGGTTTAGGGTTTAGGATGACTCCCCTTGAAAACACAGCCGTGCCTGAAGGAAACCCCGATGGAGCGGGGGTAGGGTTTCGGGCTCCGAGTTGAGGTTTTAGGGTTTCGGCCCATGCGCCCAAAGTGAGGGTACAGCCTTCTTGTTTTAGGGTTTATGGTTTAGGGTGGGTTTAGGGTTTAGGGTTTGGGCTTTAGGGTTAGGGGGGTTCATGGGGGGGCAGGTACCTAAGGACGCCCAGGGAAGCTTAGGGAGCCTAAAGGAGTAGTGGGGAGCAATTATTCGGGAACCTTGGGTTACGCACCCCTCCTTGAATCAAGGGATTAAGACTCGTACCCCTCAGGTTGTACCCCGAAAGGTTTCTGTTAGCATACTCCTAATAGGGCCCCTCTACAACCTCAAGGATCTTCAAACACACGTCCCAAGAAGTCAAGGGTACAATTCTAAGTGTCCAAGGAACAAGCTCTAGATTAGACCCTAAGGGTCCATGTACCTAAATAGTATATACTTGGGCCCTAACCCTAAATAGTATATACTTGGGCCCTAAAGCTACTATATGGGAGCCCCTTTCAGGCCCAAGTATGTACTATATAGGTACATGGACCCTTAGGGAGTTGAGGCCCTAAACCCTAAACCCTAAACCCTAAACCCTAAACCCTTAGCCGCTGGCCCTTTTCAAGGTACCAGAGGGTCCTGCAAGACTTCCTGGCGAATGGCGTGGAGGTGCGCCCTCGGGTGGATTCAACACCTTGAGTAGCATTCCATAAACCCTAAACCCTAAACCCTGAACCCTAAACCCGGGTTCACACGAAGTAGGTTTCCGAAGATGAACCTGACAGCTTAAGTACCGACGCGTGGCATCGAACGTGAAACTGCAACAAGCAAGCTCTTCTCAAAAGTGTCTCGCGTGTGTTGATATGGGGGGTGTCCGAAAATAGGGGTACCCTTTTTGGGGCTCCCTTTATGGGGGCTTCTATGCTTTTTGGGCTGTAAAAGGGGTACCCCTTTTTGGGAAATACCGATGTGCTACAGTATGTCTTTGTGTATAGCCGTGCCCCCTTTCTTTTTTAAAGGTCCCGCTGCCTTGCCTGTTGCGGACATGCCCCAAACCTAAACCCTAAACCCTAAGCCCTAAGCCCAAACCCCAAACCCCAAACCCCAAACCCCAAACCCCAAACCCCAAACCCCAAACCCCAAACCCCAAACCCCAAACCCCAAACCCCAAACCCCAAACCCCAAACCCCAAACCCCAAACCCCAAAACCCAAACCCCAAACCCCAAACACCAAACCCCAAACCCCAAACCCCAAACCCCAAACCCCAAACCCCAAACCCCAAACCCCAAACCCCAAACCCCAAACCCCAAACCCCAAACCCTACCCGGGAGATGTTGGAGTGAAGCGAAGGTTTCAGTTTACCCAAAAGCAGATGAGACGAGAACGGATGTCAGCTGGGCTTCTGTGAACGAACTTGAAGCAAGTTACCATACCATAGCCGTATACTTGTAAACAACGGAAGTTTGCTGTTTCCAGTGGCTTATTTGTTTTTTACATTCCTCTAATCCCCAAGCCCTTTTTGTCAACTAACCCTAAACCCTAAACCCTAAACCCAAAACCTTAAACTTCAAACCCTAAACCCCACATCAACCCTCACGCCTAAACCCCAAGCCCTAAACCTTACACCCTTATTAGGGTTTGGGGTTTAGGGTTTAGGGTTTAGGGTTTAGGGTTTAGGGTTTAGGGCTATGGTTTAGGGTTTAGGGCTAGGGTTTAGGGTTTGCTAAGCTCCCCCTTGTGAACTTCCGTTTTAGGTGAAGCGCCTCGTGGAGCCCACGTGTGCCTGAGCGCCCGAGGTTGGATTCATCCACATCTCCCCGATACTGGGATCCAGGGATTAGGGTTTAGGGTTTAGGGTTTCGGGTTTAGGGTTTAGGGTTTAGGGTAGCTACATCGGCCCTTAATATGGTCGCTTGCCTCCTATGAAGGGTTCTGACGTATGGGCCCTTGGGTTCTATAGGGTATATCCCCTACGCCCCTGATATTAAATATTCCCTTTCTAGTTACATCATACCGTATATAAGGGTTTAGGGTTTAGGGTTATAGGGCTATTTAAGAAAAAGGGGGGTAGACGGGAGGGGGGAGAGGATTCATTCTCCTCAACCTCAATATTCTGTCAAAAGGATGCGCGCGCACTAGGCACAACTGCGCTGCGGTCGAGTATAAAAAGACATGGTGGTTTCTGGCAAGAGCCGGGATTAGGGTTATCTGGGGGTTACCTGGGGGTTTAGGGTTTAGGGGTACCTTACTGGGGTCCTTCCTATTAGGGAAACCTGTTCCCTATGTTCGTAAACCCCCACATGTCTCGATTTTGCGGCGTATGGCGCAAGCAAGAGCCGATGTCCCGTCAGGGAATAGGAGTTTTTCTTCGGACGCTCGTCCTTGGAGCAACGGTTTTTTGAAGGGCTCCAGAAAAGGGGGTTGCCATGCACCCTGAACCCGATAGTTTAAGTTTGTCCTGACCTGCAGCCCTTAATCAGGGTGGAAACGGGACATATATCCAGCAGTCTGACGATAGATTTTGGGGCTTCAGGCTCAGGGTTTAGGGTTTGGGGTTTCCCCTACTACCCCCCTCTACACTACCCCCCACCAGGTTCCCCCCATAACCAAAATTACACAGGGACACCCACGCCCAATTAAGGTTATTTAAGGGGGAACCTGGGGGGGGGGGGGGGGTAGTATAGAGTATAGAGGGGGGGGGGGTAATAGGGAAACCCATGAGAAGCTAGGACCCAGGGTGTGCCCTTGTTCCCTTTTTGTTTTAGGGCTTAGGCTCTTTTTTCAGTCCCTTTAACCCAGAAAGGGCGCCCTTTTTACCCGAACTTCCCGAACCCCTAAGCCCTAAGCCCTGGGCCCTAAACCCTAAACCCTAAACCCTACACCCTAAACCCTAAACCCTAAACCCTAAACCCTAAACCCCAAACGTGACGGCGGCATCCCTGGCTCAAAAGGTGTTCATTAAGTCTCAGAGCCCCGACCAGAGACGTAGATCAGCGCAACCATGGCAACCACCAAGGCGCCAAGCGTTGGGGGGGGGGGGGGGGGGTTTGGGGGGTTTGGGGTTTAGGGTTTAGGGTTTTGGGGTTTGAGGGTTTTTAGGGTTTTCGGGTTTTTAGGGTTTTAGGGTTTCAGGGTTTTTGGGTTTCAGGGTTTCAGGGTTTTAGGGTTTTAGGGTTTTTAGGGTTTTAGGGTTCTAGGGTTTTAGGGTTTTAGGGTTTCAGGGTTTTAGGGTTCTAGGGTTTTAGGTTGTAGGGTTTTGAGGTTTTAGGGTTTAGGGCTTCAGGGCTTCAGGGGTTGTAAGGGCTTAGGGTGTTGGAGTTTAGGATTTAGGGCTTTTGGGGCTTGTAGGCTTTTGGAGTCAAGGGTTCAGGGGTGAAGGCTTGTAGGGTTTAGGGTTTAGGGCTGTAAAGTTTAGGCGGGGCTTTGGCCTGACTGTGTGCAGCAAGCTGCTTGGTCTCCGCGCACACCTGATGTTTAAACAATACTCCGATTCTCGCTGCAAGAGTGCTTTCGTTACTGCAAGAAACAACAATGTACAGTTCCCGAAATCACGCCTACTTTCGGCTGCCCGAGATACAGGGGCCCGAGTAACCCTAAACCCTAATCCCTAAACCCTAAACCCCAAACCCCAAACCCTAAACCCAAAAAGGGACCATCCTTGCAAGAGCCTCGCATGTGTTCCAGACTCTTGCCAGGAGGAAGATGTTCAGATGATGCTCGCGCCTTGCCTCGCCTCAGTAAAGCAGGAGGTCTCTGACAGCACATTGTGTCATGTAGCTAAACCCTAAACCCTAAACCCTAAACCCTAAACCCTAAACCCTAAACCCTAAACCCTAAACCCTAAGACTAAACCCTAAACCCTAAAGCTGCCGCACAGAGGTTTTACTCTAGCTAGATTTAGTTACCCAGTGTTTACCCATCGCCGGCTTCGCCGGGTTGCTTGGCAACGTACTTAATTTCAGTGCTCCCAAGTCCGGCCTCTTTTAGGTTTAGGGTTTAGGGTTTAGGGTTTAGGGTTTAGGGTTTAGGGTTTAGGGTTTAGGGTTTAGGTTTAGGGTTTAGGGTTTAGGGTTTAGGGAAATCTGGGCCCACATTACCCATGTTTCTGACCTGCATCTTGGGCCTAGTGGAATCGCAACGTACATATCCCATGACTTTGGGGCCAGGCCGCGATTGTGGGTCTCACGATGGTTGAAGGTTCGCGGGTAGGTAGAAGTAGGGTTAGGAGCACCCTGAATAGGGTTGTAAGTATAGTTTCCGTACTTACAACCCTACCTAGAATGACCCGTGAGCCTCCCAGTAGGTAGTCCCTAAACCCGAAACCCTAAACTAAACCCTAAACCCTCTTAAGCTCTTGGGGTTTAGGGTTTAGGGTTTAGGGTTTAGGGTTTAGGGTTTAGGGTTTAGGGTTTAGGGTTTAGGGTTTAGGGGCTGCCTTGAGGTCTGCAAGACCCACCTTGGGACTCGCAATGTTGACTTCCGCATGAAGCGCTACGTCTTCCGCCGCACAGTGGATGGCATCCACATCATCCACCTCGGGAAGACTTGGGAGAAGTGCCTGGGCATAGTTTAGGGTTTAGGGTTTAGGGTTTAGGGTTTAGGGTTTAGGGTTTAGGGTTTAGGGTTTAGGGTTTAGGGGGTTGCAAGTGACCTAAACAGGGAAGTTGTAAGAGTAGCTTGTAACCCGAACTACACATGAACCTCCAAGTAGACTTCTCGAAACCGCGATCCTATTTCAGCTATTGTGTCAGGGAAGCGACTTTCTAATCTGGGCCCGAACAAGGGGACGTAAGGGGGCCACAATTCAGAGAAATTACCTTCTAATATGTGTATTAGTATAATTCGTATCCAACAAGAGTTTACGGTTTAGGGTTTAGGGTTTAGGGTTAGGGCGGCGAACACCTGCCTACTCTGCCTCTTCCAGCGCCCCCGTGCCCAGGCTGATGGTGGCAGCGCGCATGATCGTTGCCATCGAGAACCCACAGGACACCCATGAGTCCCAAATACGAACAGCCTAAACCCTAAACCCTAAACCCTAAACCCCACCTTACAACTACCCGCAATAATGGACCTCCAAGAAGAGAGCTCAGGACATCATCGTCGCCTCCCAGCGACCCTACGGCTCTCGCGCTGTCCTCAAGTTCAGCCAGCCAGGGGCCTCAGCAGGGTTCGGGTTTAGGGTTTAGGGTTTAGGGTTTAGGGTTTAGGGTTTAGGGTTTAGGGTTTAGGGTTTAGGGTTTAGGGTTTAGGGCTTAGGGTTTAGGGTTTAGGGTTTAGGGTTTAGGGGTTAGGGGTTTAGGGTTTAGGGTTTAGGGTTTAGGGTTTAGGGTTTAGGCTCTAGGGTCTAGGAGGGTTTGAGAGAAGGTGGGGTTTAGGGTGTGGGCTTTACGGCGTTTCGGGCTCAGGGGACTTAGGATCTTCGGCTGAGGGTCTGTGGCTGTTCTTCGGTAGACCTATTTCGGTTTTCAATCCTGGCAAATCTTCACCCTAAACCCTAACCCCTCAATTCGCCTTAATTTCGGTGAGGGAGTGAACTGGGGCGCGGAGGTGTCGTAGGGAACTCTGCTAGTAAAGGGTTCAGGGTTTGGTTTCAGGCTTAGGGCCTAGGGTTTAGGGTTTAGCAGAATCTGGGATCAGGGCTTCAGGGGTGAGGGGTTTAGGGATAAGTGTCTTTTTAGGATCTAGGCTTCAGGTAGAGGTTAAGGTTGTCAACAACAGGGTAGTATGTTGGATAAGTTTTCATTATCTCCCTTTGTCCTTTCTAGACCTCTCTACAACAGGTAGTTCTCTAAATTTGGTCCTATGTTTTGTACGGCAACCTGAGAAGAAGGAAGAAGGACCCCAACAGGGTCCCTATTTTCTTCAGAACTACCTACACGGTTGTCTTGGCTGAAGGTACCCCTAGTAGTTGCAGTGCTGAGGCACATTAACGTTGATCCGTTCCTGCCTGCCTGCTGCAGACCTAAACCCGAAGCCCCATACCCCCGACCCTAAACCCCTAGCCGTCAAACCTCTAAACCCCAAAGTCACAGACCCCTAAACCCTGAACCCCTCAACGGTCCCCGTTTTAAGGGCTCATACTAAGGGACCATGTAACCCGAAACCCTAAACCCTAAACCCTTAAGCGCCAAGGTACACGGGCGCCAACCCCCTGGCTGGACGCTGGACTCCTGGAACCTTGACCAACCAGAACCTTGGGCGCCAGAATTCGGCAAAGCGGATCCCTAAACCCTACACCCTAAACCCTGAACCCTAGAACCCCTAAACCCCTGAAACCCTTTTAGGGTCACAGGGCTTCGGGCGTAAGTCGGGTTTAGGGCTTTGGATTACACAGCCGTATATTTTGTGTGTATATATATATACATATATATATATACATATATAGATGATATGTACATACATGTGTATGTATACCAAGGACCTACAATTCAGAGGATCGCCTATATGCGGTTCCCCGAAATTATGAGCACCGTCGTTGAGGGGTGATCCCTATAATGAGGATTAGTTTTGGGGGTGCATACTTGGGGTTCCCTACTTACATGTTGGGATTCCCTTATTGTAACTTAAGGTACCTAAACCCTAAACCTCAAACCCCAAACCCGAATCCTAGACCCTATTTTCTTGTTGTGAGTATTCTGACCTATCCCTTCATATCGGGACCCTAAACCCTAAACCCTAAACCCTAAACCCTAAACCCTAAACCCTAAACCCTAAACCCTAAACCCTAAACCCTAAACCCTAAACCCTAACCCCTAAACCCTACCCCTAAACCCTAAACCCTAAACCC